TCAGGGAGTCTCACCGAGATAAGAGTTATTGTATGTAACAAACAGTTCTTTGCGATGCATTCTTCATTAGCTCTCAACAACAGTTGCCGAATCATCCAATTCAACCCTGTAGCCGTGGATAAAATTCTGAAAAACCATGTTATAAGAAATATCAGTGTTCAGAGTCGGTCACAGTGTCAGTCAAACTGCTTCCAAGAACCCAACTGTGTGTCATACAACTATGGTCCATTACAGAGTGATACACCGACATGTGAGCTCAGTAATCGCACCCACCTGCAAGTCTCCAGCAGCAACTTTGTTCTAAAGGGAAAATACCTCTACCAAAACATCGTGGTAAGAAACAAAAACATTCATACAGGAGCACTTTTGAATTGATTGTCCAAAACCACTTAAAAGTTGTGTCAGCGATCAATCAACCTTAGCCAAGAGAAAACATTTTAAGTTGCTTGAATCCAGTTGGTTTATGAGATGGCGTTTTTCTTCTAGCTGTAGTATGAATCAACTATACCCAAGAAAAAATGAGATTGTTTGCTTGAAACTGGTTGGTTTATGAGATGGCTTGTTTTGTTCTTGATCAAACAGAGAGTGACATAACGCGCTTCTATAAATGTCATATATGGTTCTCGTGTAAATATTAAAATCGCTTCAATCATGTCGGTGTAGTATTTGAGAATGCGTAGTTCCACAAGTACTTTCATCCTCCCCCACCCGCTTGTATGTTCTTTTGTATGACAGAAGGTGCACAATGATTGGTGATGATGTAATATACAAGATATTTTATTTAAGTTGCTTTACTGCTTGTCCTTAAATCCTCGTTAAACCCAAATTTTCCTTAACTTAAAACTGTGAACAAACAAACGTCTCTAACTTAAGCCTTTCAATACTTTTTAAGAATTACTGTGAAAGCGGTCCATGTCCGAGCAACACATTATGTCAAGCCGGGTTCACGAATAAAGGGTATCGATGCGTTTGCGTAGACGGATTGAAACATGGGGCCAACTGCGATCAAGGTAAATATTGGACGGAGTTTTATTCATTCTAAATACAAGTTAAAGAACAAAAATCTTTAATAAAACCGGTAAAGAAACATACAGCCTAACAATTTTTAAGGTTAAAGCCTGAGCCTGGTGCTTTTAACTTTAACATAGATGGTCGGAGACATCAAAATTAAAGGTGAAAAAAACTAACATTGAATAGCTTACTCGCTGTTTATTTTGTGATATCAAAATGAATTTTTAGCCTTCATATAAACAGTACAATCACATCTTTATGATTGCTTGAAGTTACTTACCAGTAGTTCCAGAGAAGTTGTTTTGAACAGCATGTTGTTATTGTGTGTAGTCGTGATACGCTTTATAAGCTTCAATAACATTTAAAATTATAAATTTTTCAGGTTCTTCTGCAGTGTCCGCTATTTTGTCATCGTCATCGTCATCGTCATTGTCATCGTCACTGTCGTCGTCATCGTCATCATCATCGTCATCGTCACCATCACTATTGCCATCGTCATCATCATTATCGTCCTCGTCTTCGTCAACTCCTTCGCCGCGGTCATCAACGTCTACGTCGACGTTTCTGTCCTCTTCATCATCGCCATCTCCGTTTTCACCATCTCCCGACACCACCTCGTGGTCGTCGCCGTCGCCGTCGCCGTCGCCGTCGCCGTCGCTGACGCCACCTTCCTCGTCGGCAGGAATATTGCCTGATCCTACTCCACCAGGTTTAGTTTATAGCTTCATTCTTAAACTTAGATGCATTTCAAACGAATAAAAAAGTACCACACTGAAATATTTGCCAAATGAAAGCTGCTCGAATATGACTAAACGGACAATGAAGACAAATACTACGACAGAGGTAGTTTACATTGGCCATAGAGGCGTAATGGTGGAATAAGAAATTGCCCTTAAAAAGATCTCAGGGAATATTCAACTTAATTATAATATCCTTTNAGGAAAATGATTTACAACAGATATACACGATGATATTTGGTGAAATACATAAGAACGAGTGGAGAGCAGCAAATTAATTTTGATTGCAAATTTTTTAATAGTAAATTTTTTCCTTTTCAAGCGTGTCCGCAAGGTTGGTATTCTTTTCAAAGCTCGTGCTATCACCTTACCACAGATCCAAAGATATGGAGTAGCGCAGTATTGAAATGTTCCAGCAGTGATGCGCAGTTGGTGAGAATTGATTCCTCTGAAGAAAATGAATTTATCAAGGCGACATTTCTTGTTCACGAAGTAGATTACTGGATTGGATTAACGGATGAAGATACTGAAGGAGAATGGAAGTGGTCTGATGGAAGCTTACTCACAGGATTTGAAGGGTGGATAGAAGACCAGCCAAGTGATAGAGACCACGTGCAGAACTGCGCTGGAATAAGAAAGAGAAACGAGGGATCGAATTACGAAATAGGATGGCACGACAAACAGTGCGATCAACTTAAAGGGTACATCTGCGAAAAGTAGAATTAGAAGTTCGTTTTCCTAAATTTTTTTAACATTTAGTTGTCCAGTTTATTTGTTCATCTAATCTGTTTGCTCTTTATTGTCATTGATGTGAGAGCTGGTTTCAGTTTTCAGAATGGGATGGGATGGGATAAGGAATTACGATGCTGAGTGGCACGATAATGATTGTGGAGAAACTAGAGGCTAAATCTGCGAAAAGTGCATTAATCTACTTTTTTGGATAATAAGCTTTGTATTCGTTTGTTCATTCAATTTTTTTCTCTCTCTTTATTGTTATTTCTACGGGAGCTGTATCTGTTATCATTAAGAATACATGTTATTACACAAAAGGCCAACACAATAGATTTGTCAGATTTAATGATTCGCGACCCATGTATAAACTTACCGCACTTTTTGAAAAATCACAAAGTCATTCGTCAGGCAGTTCTGATCACTTGGCAGTCACATATTTATAATGCTAAGTTTCAATGATTGTAGGATGGGAAAATTTCCGGAAGTTTTACAGTTGTTTTGAGGAGACATGCTTGACATATACAGTTTTTGTCTAAAAGGGTTTTATGTTAGTCGTACAAGAAGAAAAAAATTATATATGATTTATACGATTGAAATGATTTTCATGTATTCAAAGTCAAGAAAAAACTGAGCAGCCTTTGTGTGAAAGAGCGCTATACAAGTATACGAATCAGTTGGAAATTAAATGCAAGACTTATTAAATACAGCTACAAAAAAGTTGAATAAATCCTCGATGAAGGTGTAACAACGAAACGTGCAAAAAAGCCGTGCTTCAAAGACAAAAACTACAAAGTTAATCGAGTCTGTTATTCCTTCCTTTATACAGTCAATGGTCAAACTTGAAAGTCTCTATATTCGAACTACAAGAAAAATAATAAAGGTAATAGTTTCTCCCCAGTGCATGTAATGGCACAAACACCAGCTATGAACTGCAAAGGAAATCTAATCATTTGTTTCAGCACGTTTGCATTACTTGCTGTTATCAA